GGTCGTTCTTCGTGTAGGTCCATTACCTGCTGTTCAGCGTAAATTTCGGCGCAGATTGCCGCTTTGGAGATCCTCCCGTGAGCTCGGAGGATAGCTCGAGTGGAGCGCCAATGAGGGTCGAGGCCAGTGATGACAATTGTCACGAAGGCTTCTTCGGATATTGATCCTCCGCATCGAAGGAGTCTGTCGCGCAATCCACGACAACTGCTGATATAAGCCATCTCTTTTTTGCCGGGTTTCATTTCCACTGTTGTCAGCTGTGCCATGAGACGACTTTGATTAACACTGTCTCTTGCTTAATACAAGTTCTTCAGGTGGTTGTACGCAAGCTCGGCGGAGTTGTCGTATCCACGATAAGACCGGATGTTCTACTGCTCGTTCGGAGTTATGTTTCACCGAAGAATTGTATACGCCATTAGCGATGTGAGAGAACTGAGGAATGAAGAAGAGGGGAGTTCACTAGCAAACATTGGGATACATATAGCAAACCCTAAAAGGGTTGTACTCACTATAGAGTACCCCACTACAGACTAGAGAAACATAATATTCTGACACACCCCTATAGTCAAAGTGGGGTGTAATAAGCACAACAAGCAAAGCAGAACAAGCTCAGGGTGGATCACAATGTCACCACACATTCTGAGCACAAGTACAAGAAGCAACAGTTTAAAGTTCACAAATGTAAGCAAAGCTAGAGGCTATCGCAGAGGGCAAGTGTGGAGGAGGAGGGACTATGAGAGGAGAGGAGGTAGTGGGCGGCAGCTGAAGCTGCTGGCACACGGCGCAACTGGAGCAACTGGCACACGGGCAACTGGAGCAACTGGCACACTGGCAACTGGAGCAACTGGCACACGGGCTACTGGAGTTACTAGCTCCGCGGCTAACTCTACGCGGCAGGAGCAACGGACTCACGGGCGACTGGAGCAACGAGCTCGCGGGCGACTGGCGCAACGGGCTCACGAGCGACTGACGCAACGATCTCACGGGCGACTGGAGCTGCGGGCTTCACGGCGGCCACCCCCTTCAACCTCCCCAAACTATCCCACCCCCATTTCACACACCCCCTACTGCACCCCTAGGTTCACTCACACCCCACCCCCTAGCACCACTCCGTCGACTCCCACACACCCACCCCCCTCAGCGGCAGCTGCAGTAGTGGGAGACAGAGGAGGAGGAGGAGGAGGAGCAGGGGAGACCACACACCCGCCACCCCCTACTCGCCACCCCCAGACCCTAACACAGGGCAGGGCGGGACGGCGGGTAGGGAGGGTAGGGGGGGGGGGGGGGGGCGACGCGCGGCCTCCCAGGGCGCCAAAACAGGCGGCAGAAGGGGCGGCGCTCTACCCCCCTCCCCCAGGTGCCCCCAAGGGAGCCGCGACGGGCGACGGGAAAAGAGGGGGGGGGCGGTGCACGTGCCCCCGGTGCGCCGCGACTGGCGACGTAGCATGTCCGGGGCGGGGCCGGGGCAGGGTCGAGGAAGGGCCGAAAGGGGCGGCGACAGGGCCGCAAGTGGCAGCGACGGGGCTGCTGGAGGCGGCGACGGGACCGCTGGAGGCGGCGACGGGGTTGATAGGGGCGGCGACGGGGCCGTTAGGGGCGGAGACGGGGCCGCTGGCGGCGGCGACGGGGCCGATAGAGGCGGCGACGGGGCCGCTAGGGTCGGCGACGGGGCCGCTGGCGGCGGCGACGGGGCCGATAGAGGCGGCGACGGGGCCGCTAAGGTCGGCGACGGGGCCGTTGGCGGCAGCGACGGGGCCGATAGGGGCGGCGACGGGGCCGTTAGGGGCGGCGACGGGGCCGCTGGCGGCGGCGACGGGGCCGATAGGGGCAGCGACGGGGCCGCTAGGGTCGGCGACGGGGCCGCTGGCGGCGGCGACGAGGCCGATAGGGGCGGCGACGGGGCTGCGAAGGGGCCGCGAGGGGCCTGAGAGGTCGGCGACGGGGCCGTTGGCGGCGGCGACGGGGCCGATAGGGGCGGCGACGGGGCCGCGAAGGGGCCGCGAGGATCCTGGAAGGGCGGCGACGGGCCGCGAAGGGGCCGCGAGGGGCCTGAAAGGGGCGGCAACGGGGCCGCGAAGGGGCCGCGAGGGGCTGAGAAGGGTGGCGACGAGGCCGCGAGATGTGGCGACGGGGCCACTAAGGGTCGCGCGAGGGGCACGCCACGGGGCGTGCAGAGCACAGAGTAGCAGCGGAAGCAGTTAGGTGGGCCCACAGGCCAGAAGCGTAGATGCTCTGATAGCATGTGAGAATTGAGGAATGAAGAAGAGGGGAGTTCACTAGCAAACATTGGGATACATATAGCAAACCCTAAAAGGGTTGTACTCACTATAGAGTACCCCACTACAGACTAGAGAAACATAATATTCTGACAAGCGACTGATACGTGTACCGTTGCTTGTCGTACTGCGTCCCGTGTATTAGGTATGGCAGGGATCCGTCGAAGAATCCGAGAATTTTTGTGCCTTCCATCATCAGCTCGAACTCAAATGACCAGGTATAAAAGTCTTTGCCGTCGAAAGGTATCGATGTCTGCAGTTTCAAGACGTGCGCGATTTGCGATTGTACCTGGAGCGCGTCCAGTATTTTTTCTTGTCTAGATGGAGGCTGTTGGTGTGGCATGAAGCTTATGGAGCCGCGTTGAGGCTCGTACGGAGCAAAGGTAGGTTGCTGCTGGTTTCCGCGCGCATAGGATGAGCCGTCGAGGCTCATTGGAGTAACGCCGTTATTGTTGTCGCTATTGTTTGATTACGCATGAGCTGTTTGCTGGTGCTGCTCGTAGAAGGACATGAAGAAGAAGAATTTCTCCATCATACTTGGGTCGAAGCCTATTGCCTGGTTCGCGGGAGTTTCAGTAGACTCAGCTGCTGGTCTTGTTGCCGTGCCTCCCTCTGTCTGTAGGCCAGAGGCTGGAGGTGGAGTAGGAGTAGTGCCGGGAGAGCCATCGGAAGAGCTTCTCTCCTTCTGTGTTGCCATGTCTTCTGGTGTTGTAGGAGTGTTAATAAAGTTGGATCTTGCCTTGTGAGCTCTCATACCATGTTGGGCTGAGAGAAAACCCTTAGGATCTTTCAAGGCTAAGACCCTGAGTAGGAATGTTGTAGTTGCGGAAGCGTTCTTAGTGAACTTTGTTGAACCAACTTGCACTAGTGTGTGAGAGCAAGAGATTGATTATAGCAAGGTAATACAAAGGTATTTATTAAATTACAATGGATATAAAAAGGTGCAACTAACTGTTTGCTGTTGCGGTTCGATATAGTGACGACTCGGGCAACTGCTCAATACCGAGTCAGTTGTTTGTCCTTGCTATCGCGATGTATTCCGCTAAATTAAAGGTCGCTGACCTTTGACCTTCTCGTAACCTCCAGCTGTTACTTTCTGTCAACCTCATCGGTTGACTCGCCATTGCTTCGTTGAGATTCGACTCGTTTGCAGTCTATTGTTTCGACACAACATGAGCGTTTAAATTACTTGTTTCCAACACTGGGAAAGGGTAATTGAAAAAAATGCGGCCGTCAGTCAGTGCAATCAGGGCGTTTTACCCTGATAACGAGAGCCCTGTTGACCACCTTTCTTATTTCCTAATTCCTTACTGAGTCACCCCATAAGCGTACAACCCAGCTTTCGGAAGACTGGGCTCGGCTGCTTCCCGAACGTCCCTCGCTCGCGTTGCCTTCAGGTTTGACAAACAGCACCCAACCATTGCGACCCCGCGAACCCCGCCAAGCTAGCCTTCCGCTATATCTGATCCGTGGTTGTAACCACTTCCGTGATATTGCATTCTGCACACTCTTTTAATAGTTCAACTCATAACATGTACGGATAAGTCATTTGTTATTACGACACTCCGTTACAGCTCGCCGTAACACTCAGCTTCGTCTCTGACTTCCTGTCATTCCCGACCCGTCGTCGCGGTTTGTCTATGTCTTTGGATTCATCCTCGCCAACGGTCTCGATTTGCCATCGTTGCATTCCAACTTCGATGGTTGGTTGCGATTCTGTCAGCAGCGCTCCACCGAAGGCAGCAGCACCACCGCATGCTCATGCCAATCTCAGTCATAGGCGAACATGGTAGTCATAACCCATGTCAATCGTAGTCTTCCCGAGTTAGTTGTAGGCTGTTGTAATTCCTTGCATAGGTCGTAGCGGTGCTGCTGGTCCGAGCCTGTCAGAGTTCGTGTTTCTCTCGCCTCCTGGAGGTCTTCCTGTTTGCATAAATTATTTTAAAATGGACAAAAGGAGGAGTATGCTGACTAGATCACCGGTTTCAAGCGGTTTTCAAAGAGCGAGAACAGCCTCGACCCGCCTTTCGCCTCCGCAACGGCCCATTGTTTCTCCTTGTTTTAGGGTCCGCCGTGGGATCTGCCATGGGGTCCGCCATGGATCCCGTTCAGGCTTTCGCCGACCTTATCGGCACGCCCCGTCCAGCCGCGACTTTCCTGCTAGCTAGCTTCGCGTTTGTCCCGATCGCGTGGCTTCACAGATTCATATCATCGCCTACACTCCGCCACCTGTACTGCACAGTAACGGGACTGCTTCTATCAGCCTTCGTGTTCGGATGGACGGCGGACGCGCACTTCTTCGTGTGCATGCTCTACTCCATGGCCGTAATGCGGCTGTTTCGTAGACACTGCGGCGTCTTAACTTTCTTCGGAACGTTCGCGTACTTGATTGGTTGGTAAGTTTCCCTTCCTTGTTCTCTGCTTCTTTGTGTTTCTTTGGTTTTGGAATCGCGAGTCAAAACCACAAGATCAGGACGGTAGCAGCCTTTCATGCAAACGGTTAGCGCCTTCTGCGTCCGACGCCAGCTGTCTCAGCGTTTCCGATCTTCGCATCCTCTCCCTTCTAGCCGTCCTTTCATGCGAACATCCCTCCGTCTCCGCATTCCCCGCTTCAAACTCCTCAATCACCAGCGTTCACATTTCCCGTTTTTCAAGTGTGTGCCTTCCCTCGTTCGATGATGATCGAATCAATGATGCGATCCGACCTCCTGCAGCCACATCATCATGCGCACCCACGAGACCCGCACGGAGGGCGTGCTCGACTGCACAGGCGCGCTCACCGTCCTCGCTACAAAGCTCACCGCTGTGGCGTATAACTACCAGGACGGGCTCACGCTGCTGGAGGGGAAGGACGAAGGCGCGCAAGCCAAGGACGAGAAGGAGAGGAAGGAGTTGACCGAGGAGCAGAGACGGCGGGAGGAGCGGATGGAGCGTTCGCGATTGGAGCGGCGAAAGGCGGCGCTGGTTACCATGCCGTCGGTGCTGGAGCTGATGGGGTATCTGTTCTGCTTCGGGCTGCACATGACGGGCCCGTTCTTTGAGTTCACGGCGTATGACGACTGGACCCGGCGACAAGGGGTACGCTGTCAAACGTGGCATGTGCTTCCATGCCCATGCATACCTTGTCAACAATGGATAGGTGGTCTGGCTGCGGATGCAACATCCATATCACCGGGCTGTCTTGTGATGTCATCTCCCCGCACCTCACCTCTCTGCGCGTTCCCGCCCATCCCCTTCCGTCCTCACCACCTGCAGATCTGGTCCGCGGGTGTCAAGCAGCCGCCCATCCGCGCGCCATTCTGCCGCGCGTTCATCCAGGGCGTGCTCTCAGCGCTCGTCTTCCTGCTCGTGTCCCCCTCGCTCGACCTCACTCAAATCAGCAACCTACACAAGAACCGCGCCCACCCCTTCCACGTGCGCTGGCTCGTGGCGCACCACGCGTGCATCGTGTGGCGCTTCCGCGCGTACATCGTGTGGAGCATCACCGAGGCCGCCATGATCACCGCCGGGCTCGGCTTCACCGGCTGGGAGACCCCCACGGGGGACCCTGGGAAGGCCGGGGACGTGAAGTTGAACGGGGGGAAACTGGAGGGGGCGAAGGGGAATGGGAAGGGCGGTGGGGATGGGGATGTGGGAAAGCAGGAGGGTGATAGGACGTGTGCGACGCCTGAAGGGGAGGGGAGGCCGCTGTGGTATCGGGCTCGCAACGTGGACATACTGAGGGTTGAGTTTCCCACGAGCTGCCTCGACTTTGCTACCAAGTGGAACATCTCCTACGGCCTCTGGCTTAGGCTCTGTGAGTTCTGGTTCGTCTTAATGGTCACCTGTCTCAGGCTCTGAGTCTTGCGGTGAGTTTTCAGTCGAGTCAGAGTCGACTTTGCCACCATGTGGAACATCTCCCACGGCCTTTGGCTCAGGCTCTGTGAGTCCACGCCACACTGCACGTCCACCTCTCGACCTCTCTGAAACCACCTTGTGGCTCTCTGCACCTCTTTGGACCTCTCTGAACTGTTCCAGGACCTCCGCGAGTTTGACCTTCGTGCTTTTCTCGTTCGTGTGTATGTGCTCCCGGCATTCTAGCCGTTTCCTCATTGGCTGGCTTCACATGCTCCATGCTCCATGCTCCATACTCCATGCTTCAGCTTCATGCTTCATGTAGCATGCTTGCCTCATGCTTCACCATTCGTCATTGCTTCGCTCTTCCTGCGACATGCGGCATGCTTGTCGTACTTGTCCGCTGCTCTCTCGTGACTCCCTGCCATCCGTCCACCCCTGGTCACCTGCGCCCCCCGTGGGCACAGACGTGTACGAGCGCATGGTGCCGCCGGGCAGGAAGCCCACCTTCGTCCACATGCTCGCCACCATGTTCGTCAGTGCTATCTCCCATGTGCGTTCCTTTCCCCGATCCATGCTGCTCTCTCCCGTATACATTCTCTCTTAACCCCTCCCATATGCATTCTTTCTTACCCCGTTCCATGTGCTTACTGCCTCCCATGTGCTTACTGCCTCCCATGTGCGTTCTCCTTACCCCTTTCCATGCTTTTCTCTCATATATTCGTCACCGCTACCACCCATATTTCTATCTCCTATGTGCGTCACCCCTACCACCCATGTTTCTGTCTCTCTCCAGATTATTTATTGGTTTCAAAGACTGTCTCCCACCCCATACTCTCCCGACCATGTGCATTTTTTCCACCCCCCCACTCTGTGTTACCCGCAGGGCTTGAATTGCGGTGACTTCATATTCTTTGCCAATTGGGCGCTTGTTGTTGCCAGCTCTAAAGGTGTGAACCGACCCCAAAACAACCAGATTTTTGTTCAACGGAGCTTGATTGTTTCATGCATAGAAATTGAAGACCACTACAACAATCCCGCAATCTGCTGCACTTCTGACAAGTTGTTTCATTTCCCTTTACATTAGTTTCCATTTTCATTCGTGCACTTCCATCCCATTTCTATTCCTTCTTCCGAGCCTGTATTCTTTTCCATATCCATCCGATTCTACTGTGCATTCCCTTCCCATTCCTCTCGCCATATCCATTTTCCATTCCCGTTCCCACCACCACTCCCATCACCATTCCAAACCCAAATCCCATACCCATTTCCCATTCCCCTTTCTCCACCATGGGATCAAAACCCGTTACTCGGGCTCACCAGTTCTGTGAACTTGTGCTCTAATCCATCCTTCTCAAACCTATCCCTGCTCCCCTTCCCTTCATGTCTCTTCCCCTCCATGCAGCCATCTACCAGCTGACGGCAGGAATCCCCAAGGGCACCATCACCCACCGCATTGTGGCACTTCTTCATACCCTCTATAGCATCTTCGTCTCTACCTACATGGCCAGCGCCTTCTGCGTGAGTGTGCACACTAAAATTTTATGGACTCTCCAGTAAGTTTTGCTGCTGGGGCCGTAAAGCTCGCTCTGGGCCGCCACGCATCTCCGCTGCCCACTCCTTTATGCGCATTACCTCTCGTTTGACTGTGTTTGCTATGGTTGTTCTTGCTGCAGGTGATGACACTATCGGGTGCATTCTCAGCCTATAGTGGCATGTACTATAGTGGTACTGTCATCCCAATTCTTCTAATTATTTTGTCTATGGTGTACAAGCCTCGCCGACCAAAGACTGTCAAGACAGAGTAGCACATGACTGTTTAATGGGCATGAGATGGAAACCCAATCCTATTTATGAGCTTTAATACTATGGAGAAGCACCGCATGCCTCTGAACAGATTTGCTCCAGTCATATGCCACATGCCTCCATGGCAGTGAGACGTGTTTGTAAGCAGTCCTTGGAAATCAGCACAACGCATGACATGGTGGCAAAAAATGAGAGGAAAGAAGCATAGGAGCCACTAGTACGGTAGTGTTTTGCCTGTTTGGAATGTTCTGTTTTCGTGGTTTCTTTTTGCAGCTGGTAACTAGGATTGTGAGTCGTCGTTAATGTTGTCGTCAATGCTGGAAGAATGTGAGAAGGGTACGAAACGGACACATCGAGAAATACTTGCTGTGCGAGCTGTTCGAGAAGTCTGAAAATTTGACCGCATTTGTTTTTGCGAAGGTCAATGGCGCTCACCATTAGTACGCACGCGACTGTACTAGTTCCGCGACCGTCCACTTCTCGCTCCAATCCGGTGACTCTCAATTCCGCAACGCGCGTGCGAAATAGTCGTACGCGGTCTACGGCCCTTTATTTTTCGCAAAACTCTTCGCCGCACATCGCCGACCTCAGCACATGCACCCACCGCAGCAAGCGGCGCAACTTCCGCCACAAGCGCGCTCTCAATTTGCAACGCTCCGCACCATGCGCCGCATCCCCTACCGAACCGTCAGCTCCGGCGATGATTCCGTCTCTTGACGAACTCCGTCGAATGCTGGAGCAGACGGAGAGCGCAACTCTGACGGGAAAAGCAGAGACGGCGGGGAACGGAGGATCAGAAGGAGAAGGAATCGACGGTGAAGGCGGGAGAGTGTGGGAGAACGTGGCAAAGGCTTCTACGCGGCGGTTCGGGCAGAACGAAGGCGAAGGCGAGGAGGTGCGCGTGGTGCTGTATCGCGACGACGCCGCGTGGTGCCCCTTCTGCCAGCGCGTGTGGCTGCAGCTCGAGGAGAAGCGCATTCCGTACCGGTGAGAACGGATTCCGTGAAGGTGAGAACGGATTCCGTCAAGGTGAGAACGGATCCCGTCAAGGTGAGAACGGATTCCGTCAAGGTGAGAACGGATTCCGTCAAGGTGAGAACGGATTCCGTCAAGGTGTGAACGGATTCCGTACCGGTGAGAACGAATTTCGTACCGGTGAGAACGGATTTCGTGAAGGTGAGAACGGATTCCGTGAAGGTGAGAACGGATTTCGTAAGTTGAGAACGGATTTCGTGAAGGTGAGAACGGATTCCGTGAAGGTGAGAACGGATTTCGTAAGTTGAGAACGGATTTCGTGAAGGTGAGAACGGATTATGTGCAGGTGAAAAGAGTGTATTGCAAAGTGAGAGCGGATTGCGTTTGGGTGAGAGGGGACAAGCAAAGGCAAAGCGACTGAGTGAGAGTGTGGGTTCTGCTCGTCATCACTTGCACCCCTATTCTTTCATCTCCCTCCCTCTCCCCGCCTTCTTGTGGCGGGGTTCACTCTCCCTGCTCCCTGCTCCAATCCTCCCTACTTTGATTCTCCTCTGCATCTCTCCCTTCGCCTCTGCCTCTCTCCCCTCTCCTCTGTAGTTTTCCTCTCTCCTATCGTCCCCCTCAGGGCGCGGTGCATTTGACGCAAATCCCAACGTTTGCTTTTTTCAATCGACTTACCCCTTTCATAAGTTCGATTGTGTAGTAGAAATTTTGATTTCATGAGGTTCGAGTCGCGGGTCCGATATCTGGTAAGTCAAAATGTGACCATCGAGGCTCGAAAAACAAAATTCGACCCTCTCCGAGCCGCGAATATACCATGTAGGTTACCCGATGTAGCCTACGTGGCTCTGGCGTCGTCCTCGAAATGTTTAGTGTAGATGTCGTCACGCTTCGCCGAGTTCGTGCGGCAGCTGAACTGAGCAGAAATGACCACGTTCGTAAGCATGCTTCGAACATTAATTTGGTAATCTGCGAAGGCTTTTGCGACATTTACGAGGTCAGTAACCATATCAAGTTCGAACAGTTTCCAAACATTGACTCAAAAGCACCGCACCCTCAACAGCATGCCCCTCGAATGCCGTTAGCATGGAGAGAATGTACCTCGAGTCCTACAGGCGAAATCTCTCAGCCTCGCCCTACTCCCCTCTCCCCTTGTCTCCCCCCTTCCATTCGCCCTGCCCGCTCCCAACCCTCCAACACCTTCAGGGTTGAGAAAATAAACCTCAAGTGCTACGGGCCAAAGCCTGATTGGTTCTTGGAGCTCGTGCCCAATGGCATGCTGCCAGCTATCCAGGTGAGCGCGGTGGCTTGGTGGTGTGTGTGTTTGTTGGTGCAGCCTGTCGGCTATCTGGTTGTTTGTGAACGTGCTGTTTCCATTCTTCAGCTTTCAGGCGACTGTGCGGTTGGCTACCCCTCTCAAACCTCTCAACTCTCTCAAGCCTCTCAACACTGCACATATGCTCACATAGCATTGCTGCCCCGCCTACTCACCCACCTTTTTTTTTTTTTTTTTTTTTTTTAATGTCTCATGTTTATGTTTATCCACCGATGTAACCTTTGAATCACGGAACAAGCAGTCTTTGTGACGTGATTATAACGCAACACATCACACCAATACCAGCTCCCGACACCTCCTGTCCCCCTCTATTGCCCCCCACCACCCAGCTAGACGGGCGAGTGATCACAGAGTCCGTGACTATAATGAAGGAGATCGAAGCCGCCTTCCCAAGTCACTCGCCGCTCCTCCCCCCTCCCTCTGATGCGCACGCAACAGAGGCAGCAGAGCAGCTGATGGGTCTGGAGAGGGGGTTGACTGGGGCGTGGCTCAAGTGGACCAAGGGAAAGGATGCCATGCGCTGGCTTGCCGGTGGTAGTGGGGCCGGAAGCAGCAGCAGTGGGGGTAGCAGCAGTGTGAGCAGTAGTGGCAGCAGTAGCAGTGGCGAGGGTGCAGGCGATGAGGAGGAGGGGGAGGGGCGGAGGGAGTTTGAGGCGGCAATGGATGCCATGGAAGAGGCTTTGGTGAAGAGCGGAGGGCCTTACTTCCTTGGGAAAGAGGTTTGTCTGTCGGTTTCACTCATTACACTCAATCTCGCTATTATGAAAGTCACTCTCATGTTCATCACAGTCACTCTTACATTGATCACATTCAATCTCACAGTAAGGCCATCAAATTATGCCAGACTTGAGCAGAATGGTGCGGTATTGACCTACCATGCTTTCATACCAAATACCATCCATTGTGCTTTCAAACTACTTAGCAAGTGAGACTATATTTATATATTCCCATGTACGGCAGCATATATACTTCTATCTGTCAGTGTGCCACACATACTGCTATCTGTCTTGCCAACTCATGTCTCCTGGCTCGTTTGCCTTTTATCTTTTAGACCTCCTCGTATGCTTCAAGTGCAAACTAGTCTCTGCCGCATTTCTGCCAGGAATGATCTCTCCATGCTTGCGTCCCTACTTCTCATGTGCTCCCAATTCTACCACCCATCCACACCTACCCCACCTCACATGTGGTTCTCCTCTCCCTTGTCGACGTGACCCACGTGCCTGCTGCACGTTCACCACAACATCCCTCCCTTCCGTTCCACACCCACCCCCGCCTCCCAGCAGTTCTCCCTTGTTGACGTGACCCACGCGCCTCTCCTGGAGCGATTCGCTGCCAGTGCACCGTACTGGAAAGGCCTCACAGTGCGGAACAACCCTCGCTGGCCGGCGCTCTCCCGCTGGTACGACGCCATGGATGCTCGACCCGCCTACCTCCCTCTCAAGTCTGACGATTTCTCCATCACCCACTCCCTTGTCCCGCAAATTGGGCCGGTGATCGCCAGCACCAATCCAACGGCTGTGGCGCGCCGGGCTTTTATTGATGGATGGGATGGGACGGGTGCATGGGATCTGCCACTGGGGGAGGAGGAGACGGCGTGGGGGAGGGAGGATGGGACGGGGGGGGAGGGGCGGAGGGCGCAGAGAGAGGTGGTGCGGGCGATTGTGGGGAATCATGACAGGCTAGTGGCCTTTTGCCTGCGTTCTTTGGGGGATTCTGCACATGTTTCAGCCGCTACGACTACTGGGGATGCTGCTGGTGCCATGGGTGCTGGTGCCGCTTCTATGAGCAGCCAGACTCATGCGGACCAAGCTGATCCACAGCAGCAGGCCATCACAGCGGAATGCCTTGCGCCAGCTGTCAGCGAGGCGTTGCGCCACGTGGCGCATGCACTGCTGGTCGGCACAGAAGCAGCAGGCCCATTCCCTGCCGTGTCCCAGTCACTTCAGATGATAAGTGGTGGAAGCAGAAGTGAGGATGTGAGGGCAGCAGGGGAAGAACGGTTGGTGATGGCTCTTGCGTATCTGAGGGATAGAGTTGGGGTGCCAAGGGACTTGAGTTATCCAGCTGCAAGGCAGCTCCGAGCTCACCTTCAGTGGGTCGTTCGGTCATTAGGATCCCCAATGTAAAGACGTAGATGACCTTATTGTTGATAACCATTATGATTCACGTGTAAGAGAGAAACTTTTAACCACTTGAACACTACACCAGGTTTTCTGTCATCGTTGTAACTTGTAGGTATTTATTTCTTCGAATGCGGTGGAACCATATTGTAGAAGCCCTCTAATATATGAAGCCTTTTCAGCAACCCTCCACTCCATGAGTTTTCTCATGTGGAGCAGTAGCCATTGCGATCATGATGATGCTTCAAAGAATGCCTGGCACACATTGCGAGTCAGAGACTCGTATCGGAGGTGAAGGCTGTGGTTTGAAAAGGCAAGGCGACTTTCAGCATGATCACGAGCTCAATTACAGGACGTTTCTGGGTTGCATAGAGCTGGGATAGCTCGAAACCATGGGAGGAGGGGGGTGGGGTGGGGGGGGGGAGAGAAACAAGGGACAGGAATCAGAGGAGGTGGCGTGTGTTGACACTGCTGGTGGAGGAGTCATAGTGAGAGCGGATTTGACTGAATTGCGAGGGCTCCGATGCTCCCTCTGCTCCTCCACTGCGGAGACTCAGATCACTGTGACCAGTAAGTCGTCACCAAGTAGTGGTTCAGTATAACTTCCATGCATCTGCTCTCTTGCAAAAATGATGGCCCTGCCACCATGATAATATGGTCATCATGCCTTCATGGCCCTGCCACCATGATAATATGGTCATCATGCCTTCATGGCCTTGCCACCATGATAATATGGCCATCATGCCTTCATTCTAGTCATCATCCTGGCCAGCATACTATCCCTCTCCATCACCTTCCCACGCGGCTGCCAGTATCGCTGGCATGTTGCTGACCCGCATTGCCTGGCAGCAGTGGGAGGGGACAAGGAGCAGGTGGCATCTGGGTGGTGGGCTCGGGGTTTGTTGTAACTTGCTGGGCAATGTGTTTGAGGTTCCATGTAGGTGGTGCTATGGTTAGCTTCTGTTTCCAGAAAATTCGCAAGCTAGTTGTGTTTCAATCCCCGCGAGGCCCTCAAATATTGAGGTAAAACATGCTGAAACCCGGGATTTTATGGTGTTGGTAGGTGCTAGAGATTTCAAGAAGTTGGTTGAACATGTCATGCACTTGCTTGATGTTGTGCTTTTTAGCCTGTAATTTCAGAGTGTGGTGCCGCTCAATGCGGTGCCTCAGGGTATATCTGAGGACCACACTGACCTGGTGTGACCTACCTGACTTGGTCTGACCTACCTGGCTTGGTGTGACCTACCTGGCTCGGTGTGACCTACCTGGCTTGGTGTGACCTACCTGGCTTGGTCTAACCTGCCTGGCTTAGTGTGACCTACCTGGCTTGGTGTGACCTACCTGGCTTGGTCTGACCTTCCTGGCTTGGTGTGACCTACCTGGCTTGGTGTGACCTACCTGGCTTGGTGTGACCTAACTGGCTTGGTGTGACCTACCTGACTTGGTGTGACCTACCTGGCTTGGTCTGACCTACCTGGCTTGGTGTGACCTACCTGGCTTGGTCTGACCTGCCTGGCTTGGTGTGACCTACCTGGCTTGGTCTGACCTACCTGGCTTGGTGTGACCTACCTGGCTTGGTCTAACCTGCCTGGCTTGGTGTGACCTACCTGGCTTGGTGTGACCTACCTGGCTTGGTCTGACCTACCTGGCTAGGTGTGACCTACCTGGCTTGGTGTGACCTACCTGGCTTGGTCTAACCTACCTGGCTTGGTCTGACCTACCTGGCTTGGTCTGACCTACCTGGCTTGGTGTGACCTACCTTGCTTGGTCTGACCTACCTGGCTTGGTCTAACCTAGCTGGCTTGGTCTGACCTACCTGGCTTGGTGTGACCTACCTGGCTTGGTCTAACCTACCTAGCTTGGTGTGACCTACCTGGCTTGGTGTGACCTACCTGGCTTGGTCTGACCTACCTGGCTTGGTGTGACCTACCTGTATTGGTGTGACCTACCTGGCTTGGTGTGACCTACCTGGCTTGGTCTAACCTGCCTGGCTTGGTGTGACCTACCTGGCTTGGTGTGACCTACCTGGCTTGGTCTGACCTACCTAGCTTGGTCTAACCTACCTGGCTTGGTGTGACCTACCTGGCTTGGTCTGACCTACCTGGCTTGGTGTGACCTACCTGGCTTGGTGTGACCTACCTGGCTTGGTGTGACCTACCTGGCATGGTGTGACCTACCTGGCTTGGTCTGACCTGCCTGGCTTGGTGTGAACTACCTGGCTTGGTCTGACCTACCTGGCTTGGTGTGACCTACCTGGCTTGGTGTGACATACCTGGCTTGGTCTGACCTACCTTGCTTGAAAAAACTTACCTGGCTTGGTGTGACCTACCTGTATTGGTGTGACCTACCTGGCTTGGTGTGACCTACCTGGCTTGGTCTGACCTGCCTGGCTTGGTGTGACCTACCTGGCTTGGTGTGACCTACCTGGCTTGGTCTGACCTGCCTGGCTTGGTGTGAACTACCTGGCTTGGTGTGACCTACCTGGCTTGGTGTGACCTACCTGGCTTGGTGTGACCTACCTGGCTTGGTCTGACCTGCCTGGCTTGGTGTGAACTACCTGGCTTGGTCTGACCTACCTGGCTTGGTCTGACCTACCTGGCTTGGTCTGACCTACCTGGCTTGGTGTGACCTACCTGGCTTGGTGTGACCTACCTGGCTTTGTCTGACCTACCTGGCTTGGTGTGACCTACCTGGCTTGGTCTGACCTTCCTTGCTTGGTGTGAACTACCTGGCTTGGTGTGACCTACCTGGCTTGGTCTAACCTACCTGGCTTGGTGTGACCTACCTGGCTTGGTGTGACCTACCTGGCTTGGTCTGACCTACCTGGCTTGGTCTGACCTACCTGGCTTGGTCTGACCTACCTGGCTTGGTGTGACCTACCTGGCTTGGTGTGACCAACCTGGCTTGGTGTGACCTACCTGGCTTGGTGTGACCTACCTGGCTTGGTGTGACCTACCTGGCTTGGTGTGACCTACCTGGCTTGGTCTGACCTGCCTGGCTTGGTGTGAACTACCTGGCTTGGTCTGACCTACCTGGCTTGGTCTGACCTACCTGGCTTGGTGTGACCTACCTGGCTTGGTGTGACCTACCTGGCTTGGTCTGACCTACCTGGCTTGGTGTGACCTACCTGGCTTGGTCTGACCTACCTGGCTTGGTGTGACCTACCTGGCTTGGTCTGACCTTCCTGGCTTGGTGTGACCTACCTGGCTTGGTGTGACCTACCTGGCTTTGTCTGACCTACCTGGCTTGGTGTGACCTACCTGGCTTGGTTTGACCTACCTGGCTTGGTCTGACCTACCTGGCTTGGTCTAACCTACCTGGCTTGGTCTGACCTACCTGGCTTGGTCTGACCTAGCTTGCTTGAAAAAACTTACCTGGCTTGGTGTGAACTACCTGGCTTGGTCTGACCTACCTGGCTTGGTCTGACCTACCTGGCTTGGTCTGACCTACCTGGCTTGGTGTGACCTACCTGGCTTGGTGTGACCTACCTGGCTTAGTGTGACCTACCTGGCTTGGTGTGACCTACCTGGCTTGGTGTGACCTACCTGGCTTGGTGTGACCTACCTGGCTTGGTCTGACCTGCCTGGCTTGGTGTGAACTACCTGGCTTGGTCTGACCTACCTGGCTTGGTGTGACCTACCTGGCTTGGTCTGACCTACCTGGCTTGGTGTGACCTACCTGGCTTGGTGTGACCTACCTGGCTTTGTCTGACCTACCTGGCTTGGTGTGACCTACCTGGCTTGGTTTGACCTACCTGGCTTGGTCTGACCTACCTGGCTTGGTCTAACCTACCTGGCTTGGTCTGACCTACCTGGCTTGGTCTGACCTAGCTTGCTTGAAAAAACTTACCTGGCTTGGTGTGACCTACCTGTATTGGTGTGACCTACCTGGCTTGGTGTGACCTACCTTGCTTGGTCTGACCTGCCTGGCTTGGTGTGACCTACCTGGCTTGGTCTGACCTACCTGGCTTGGTCTGACCTACCTTGCTTGAAATAACCTACCTGGCTTGGTGTGACCTACCTGGCTTGGTGTGACCTACCTGGCTTGGTGTGACCTACCTGGCTTGGTGTGACCTACCTGGCTTGGTCTAACCTACCTGGCTTGGTCTAACCTGCCTGGCTTGGTCTGACCTGCCTTGCTTGGTGTGACCTACCTGGCTTGGTCTGACCTACCTGGCTTGGTGTGACCTACCTGGCTTGGTCTGACCTACCTGGCTTGGTGTGACCTATCTGGCTTGGTCTGACCTACCTTGCTTGAAAAAACTTACCTGGCTTGGTGTGACCTACCTGGCTTGGTGTGACCTACCTGGCTTGGTCTAACCTGCCTGGCTTGGTGTGACCTACCTGGCTTGGTGTGACCTACCTGGCTTGGTCTGACCTGCCTGGCTTGGTGTGAACTACCTGGCTTGGTGTGACCTACCTGGCTTGGTGTGACCTACCTGGCTTGGTGTGACCTACCTGGCTTGGTCTGACCTACCTGGCTTGGTCTGACCTACCTGGCTTGGTGTGACCTACCTGGCTTGGTGTGACCTACCTGGCTTGGTGTGACCTACCTGGCTTGGTCTAACCTACCTGGCTTGGTCTGACCTACCTGGCTTGGTCTGATCTACCTGGCTTGGTGTAACCTACCTGGCTTGGTGTGACCTACCTGGCGTGGTCTGACCTACCTGGCTTGGTCTGACCTATCTAGCTTGGTCTGACCTACCTGGCTTGGTGTGACCTACCTGGCTTGGTGTGACCTACCTGGCTTGGTCTAACCTGCCTGGCTTGGTGTGACCTACCTGGCTTGGTGTGACCTACCTGGCTTGGTGTGACCTACCTGGCTTGGTGTAACCTACCTGGCTTGGTGTAACCTACCTGGCTTGGTCTGACCTACCTGGCTTGGTCTGACCTACCTGGCTTGGTGTGACCTACCTGGCTTGGTGTGACCTACCTGGCTTGGTGTAACCTACCTGGCTTGGTGTGACCTACCTGGCTTGGTCTGACCTATCTAGCTTGGTCTGACCTACCTGGCTTGGTGTGACCTACCTGGCTTGGTCTGACCTACCTGGCTTGGTCTGACCTACCTGGCTTGGTCTGACCTACCTGGCTTGGTGTGACCTACCTGGCTTGGTGTGACCTACCTGGCTTGGTGTGACCTACCTGGCTTGGTCTAACCTACCTGGCTTGGTCTGACCTACCTGGCTTGGTCTGATCTACCTGGCTTGGTGTAACCTACCTGGCTTGGTGTGACCTACCTGGCGTGGTCTGACCTACCTGGCTTGGTCTGACCTATCTAGCTTGGTCTGACCTACCTGGCTTGGTGTGACCTACCTGGCTTGGTGTGACCTACCTGGCTTGGTCTGACCTACCTGGCTTGGTGTGACCTACCTGTATTGGTGTGACCTACCTGGCTTGGTGTGACCTACCTGTATTGGTGTGACCTACCTGGCTTGGTGTGACCTACCTGGCTTGGTGTGACCTACCTGGCTTGGTGTGACCTACCTGGCTTGGTGTGACCTACCTGGCTTGGTCTGACCTGCCTGGCTTGGTGTGAACTACCTGGCTTGGTCTGACCTACCTGGCTTGGTCTGACCTACCTGGCTTGGTCTGACCTACCTGGCTTGGTGTGACCTACCTGGCTTGGTGTGACCTACCTGGCTTGGTCTGACCTACCTGGCTTGGTCTGACCTACCTGGCTTGGTGTGACCTACCTGGCTTGGTGTGACCTACCTGGCTTGGTGTGACCTACCTGGCTTGGTGTGACCTACCTGGCTTGGTGTGACCTACCTGGCTTGGTGTGACCTACCTGGCTTGGTGTGACCTACCTGGCTTGGTCTGACCTGCCTGGCTTGGTGTGAACTACCTGGCTTGGTCTGACCTACCTGGCTTGGTCTGACCTACCTGGCTTGGTGTGACCTACCTGGCTT